TTGGAGATGCCCGGGAGCACCGGCGAGCTCGGTGGCTGACCAGTCCCGGAAAGCCTGCTAAACGTCGCTTCCGCTGCCGTCGCCTCCACTGCTGCCGCAGGGTCGATTCGGTGATGCACCGCCCTGCCAGCGGCATCCCCTCTTGAGCTCCAGTCTTTGGATCTGCCGTACTCCGGCTCCGGGGACATGCAGCACGTTGGCGTGGCTGAGGGACAGTCGTCGCAGCCCGGCTGGGAGATGATCCGGCCGCAGCAGCAGCTTCCCCAGCCACAATGCGGCGGCGCTGGCGGCGCCGGCGGCACCGCTGCCGCTGTTGGTCCCTGTGCCGGTCGACGGGTGATCGTGAAGTCCCAGCTCCTGACATGTAATACATGTGGCGGCGCTAAAGTTGGATTGTCGCAGGAAGGAAGGGTGAATGGTGCGATGGACGACCCATGGGTCCGTTAGGTTGTGTGTGCCTGGGTGTGTCCGGATGTCCTTGACATGCAGAAGTCCACAGAAGCTCTGTGTAATGGCGGAAGGCCCATCTGAGTATATCCCCTGTTACGCCTTTGCCGTGATACAATGGTATCGAGACGGGGCTGCACGACTTCCGCTGTAATCTGCGGGTGGGCCGTCCTATTTAAACTATCAGCAACTAAGGCCGACGGCTTACGACGGTGTATTGGATAATCCAACGCTAGAAGAGCGTGAGGTGGGAGGGCTCCTTTGCTCGTGAATTGGCCGAGGACGTCCTTTGCTAAGCGGGGGGCAATGTAACGACGCAAGGCCCCTTTGAGCATATGCCCTTTTGAACTGTTGGCCGTTGTGCCCGTTGGATCGGAAGTGGCCTTTACTTTCTTGTTTGTCGTGTTTGGTTTCTGTTTGTCGTGTCGGGTCTCTTGTCCGATTTCTCTGTTGTCGGTGACCTGGGCGCGTGGAGCGGTCGTTGTTTCACAGCCGGTGTTTCAGTTCAGGCCCCTAGTTGGCCGTTTGGTCACCCCTTAGAGGGCACATGTTTTAGGATTACCTTCAGTGGGCGTCCATCAGCGTCTGTTGCGTGATCTGTCGCGTCTGTGGCCGGTGGGTCAGTCTATGCGCGGTTGGGGACCGCTGGTTTGACCTAGTTCTTGTGGAGTGTGTTTGGCGCTTTCCGTTCGGTTTGTTCGCTCTTCAGCCTGCGTAGAGGTGGCGCGTCCGCAACCCTTGCTGCTGGGTTGCCGCTTGGGGGTCGTTGAGGCTTTTGGCTCCGGGAGCTCTATTTCGTTTTGGTGTGTGCGCCTGTCTGGCAGCTCTCGCGTCCTTTGGCCCGCTTGCGGGTCGGCGCGTTGCGCCGTTTGGTGGTTGAATACTTCAACCGCTAGAGGGGGTATCTTCTCCTTTGGGATTTGTCTCTGAAGCAACATGCTGGGTTCGTTGGGCGTAAGGCCCAGTGCGTAACAGTGACTTTCGCAGCGGCCCGTGTCCTCAGGGCCGTCATTTATTGCGCGCATTACGCTGGTAAGCTTATCTTGTTTTTGTTGTTCAGTGCGCGCCCCCCCGCCCGCCCAGCCGTTCACGGCGCAGCCCACGTTAGTTCAGTTGCGGTGGTTCGAAAGGCCTGTCTCCTTCGGGCCTCTCAGTCCTTTTCTCTCTTCCATTATATGTAACAGAAAATGGCATTTGCTCCTGAAGCAACAACTAACGGTTTGTAAAAAATGCAAGCTTGGCCAGCACAGCTTCTTCTCGTCTGTTATCACAATCGTTGTTGCTAGCTTACGTAAAGTAAAAATTGTCAATGATGTTGAGTTGCATATTAAGACGCTGGCGGAAAAAGTCCGTTGTCCCGCTCCAGGAGGCTCCGGAGCGGCCGTGCCCACAAAAACGAATTGGAAACCTAAACATCGTAGTCTTCACCAGCGCCGTGCCATGAAAGCGTTATAGTATAGCGTGTGGCTAGTCTGGCGTGCGACATGGACCCCATAGCGGCTGTTGAAGCGAAAATCGTCAAAGTTGCGGATGAAATACAAGCCGTTGGTGCAGCGATAGCGGCTTGTACAGATAAGGATACATTAGACTTCCTATGGAAGGAAAAGTTGCTCCTGCGTAAGAAAAAGTTGCTCCTGCGTAAGGAGAAAGAACAGTTACGCGAGGAAAAGCTAATTTTGCTTCGCAAAGGTGAGTTGTATCAGCACAGTCACGGCACAGACGTGTACCTAGTGTACCTGCGCTGACCGTCTGCAGCATAAACGGAAGGGTTGGCCTTGCGCTTCTTCGGGTTTACACCGCTTGGCGACTAATCCAGTCACATTCACATGTTGTCGGTTGTCGCTTGGCATGCGGTCTTGTGAACACAGAAAGAGCTCACGGACGCCTATTCCCGTGGGTTTACCCAGCCAAGCCAACTAGGGCTTACCGGTTCCTTCCCTCGACACAGATACGGATGCGACGCGCGCTGACAAACCCAAGTCCTTCTCATCAGTGGCCTTGACGGAGGCTGAGCAGGTTTTGCGCACCATCGGCATCGAGGAGTGCGATGGCAGGGATGTGGCAAACGAGGAACTGCAGGTTCCCCCTGGCACGGCCGTCTGCGATGAATTCGACGTTACACCATACCGGTCTGAGGACGAAGCTACACCGCGGCTCCTGCAGCACCACCAGGAGCAGCTGGAGCGCCTGGGAGTAAAATTTGATGTGCTAGGCGGCTTCCAAATGTTTGACGTGCACAATCGCGCGTCTGATTCCCTGACAATCTGCTGTGGTGGCCAAACCTATTGTGGCATCTTTGACGGCTGTGTAGCACCATATGGCCTGATGGGCTTCGGTTCCCTGGAACAGAGCCGTATCATATACGAGCACAAGAGGCCACCACAGGTATGTACATGTATTCTGATTAGTTCGTGATGTATCACAGCTGCTGAATACGTTGGGTGAGGACATAGTATGTATGTGTTCAAGCCAGAAGTGTGGAGTCGCTTTACCCACCTAACATGCACATCTGGTTTGGATGACAATCTGCAGGACACATCGGCTAAAGCCCAGGCAGTCATGAAACTGCTGGCTGCTAACGCCTATGGGCCATGTCCAGTGATGCTGGATGTGACGGATGGCACCACGCACGATGTGTACACCATTCGTGGGAAGCAGCTCATCACTTGGGCTGGGCTGGACCCAACACAGGTGGGGGATCCGGGCCAGTCACTACATAACCCAAAAGATGCGTTATACTTGCTAAGAGGTCCAAGCTTGCCCAGGATGCTGCATGCTTTTCGTGCACTTTGGCTGGATAGGCCAGCAGTGTCGCCCTGGCGCTCTGACTTGTATGGAGGAGTGTATTGCTAAGGGCATATACAGAGTACATGGTTAGGGGCAGCTCATATTCCATTCCCCCCTGCATCCTGCAGGCCTACTACCTGCAGGCGCAGCACCTCCAGGCAGATGAGAAACGCGCGCTTTGGTCGCTAGAGCTGGAGCAGATTCCGGAGGAGGAGCAGGTGTGGATGCGAAAACTGCACGAACTGCGCCCTGTTTCGGGCCTGAAGGAGCAGCTGGACTCGATCATTCCCTTCCTGCCTCCGGAGGAGCGTATGTCCACGGCGTTTGAACTCATCCACTCGTGGGCACGGACACAAGCGGAGCCGTTTTCCTGACCGCTTTCCAACCTACATCAGCTGAACTGGGTGAGCCAGTGTGAGGGGCATGCTATTATGTATTGTAAAACGCAATGGGTTTGGTTGCTTGTTCGCATTAGAGAGTTGATGACTCGGAGGGCTATCTCACGTAGTGATTTTGATGCAATCTGCCGGCACACTCAATGCTGATATGACCTTTTGTGGTCATATGTGACCAGCAGCATCAGAGGCGGTCATAAGTCCAGTTTGCGAGAGAAAACATAACTAAAGTAAGCGAACTCAGACTTACTGCTCAGCTATCAATGTGCATGTCCTCATCCAGATGTTATGAATGACCTGCACTCGATATCGGCCTTGTATACACCTAGGTTGGAAAGCCCTCCATGTAGGTCGTCGCACACGGGATACTCTAGCAACACATGAATCTCATCTTCTACTGCATCATTACTTTACACCTGCACTCTTGACGCGACCGACTGCTGGATCGGTTGACCTCTAAAGGTCACTCGCCTAACCGAAGCCGCAGCATGACAAGTGTGATTTGCAGGAATGTAGCACGCCGTGTGTTATGGCGTTCCCATCCAATGGATATGCCGGCACATCTTGAACCCTGTTTAGCGGTTGTCTGCTCCAAATTCCCGGGGTGCGGTATATAGCCGTAGGATCTGCCAATCATCATGAAATCGCTGCATTCAACATTAATCGGGTTCGGCATAATGAAATTGACCTTCCCCTTGTCATCCAGTTCCGGGTGCGGCTCCGGGAAGTGTCCAAGGCGCCTAAGACCCTTAAGATCATGGCATCCCAGTTAGTGGCAGTACTATTAAATCGCACCGCAGACGTACCTCCTCACGCAGAACATTGTGAAACATTGCCCTGCCATCAGCTGACGGAGACCCAGGCGAAGAACCAGATGAATTGTTGCACGGGAAGCCATGTCTCCAGCAGCTGGCCTTTTGCACCCACACGTGCAAGGAGGTGGTGTTGGTTTCATGACGTGTCCTATGCGTGACATGTCCACGGCACTGCTAATAATGGCCTTGGGTGTGGAAAGACAAGGTTTTGTGAACATCCACCGCCATGATCGACTGGACTGATAGTACTACAAGTTCCAACTGAGTGAAACAAAGAACCAAGTGCATATCGCCTGGCCCCGACATCCCCACTTCCCCTTTCTGTCCTCAGGACGCTCTGCCACTCCGGGCCTTGTCCCAACCCTGAAGGCTGTTCCGCGGAGGTCAGTGTGCGCTGCGCCTGTCACAACAAGTACCGTGCCAAGTGGAAGTGCTCGAAGGTGCAGGCTGCGTTGGAGCGCGCCGGCCAGCCACGAACGTACGATGACACGCAGGTGCCGCGGCTGCTACCGTGTGAGGCGGAGTGCGAGCTTCTTAAAGGCCAAGGTCCCCACCTCAGTTCAAAAGCCAAGGGCACTGCCAACGGGCCAGCACCTTCCACCAGCATGACCGTTTCATGCAGCATGGAGTCTTTTTCCTTCGGAGCATGAGGCGCGGTAGAAAACAGGCACGTAAATGCCCTGAATGCGTCAAACTCTCCAGTAAGAAGTTATGTACTGTGTCTTTTATCCATTGCGGCCAAGTTCATGAGCATTGTCATTTAATCCTTCCGGTCCTAGAAGAATTGTCAGAACTTTTCCAGGCAAACGATTATGCATTTTTTTAATGAGCTGTTAGAAATAGGCTCTGGTAGAGTGTTATCAGAAAATCTGTGTTGTAAACATTTGGTTTTATGACTTCTTCAACTGGGAAGGCCAGCATGACGCGACTGACGCGGGCAAAATGGGAGGCGTTGGCGGCTAAGAAGGACACTGAGCGGCTGCGTCAGCAGCGACTGACTGCTATTGTGCGGGGGGTCATGATGGGCATTGTGGTTGCGCTAGGCTTGCTGCTGGCTTGGGGCATCAAGGCCGTCCTGTGGTACCTGGACGAAATGATGCAATCATCGTGTGTAGTAAGCGTGCAGTGGAGGTGTCATGCGCTGCATATTGGGCCACAGCATAGGCTATAATACGCGCAGCGCAGGTGGATTGTGGGGCGATGGAAGGCATTGGAAGAAGCCTACTAGATGTTGCGGACGGAAATTTGTTGCAAGTGTT